GGAAGCAAATATATCTGAGAGCTACAAAAGAGCAGTTGGCCTGAATCTTAAATTCTACTTATCTTAGGACCTCAAACTAAGAAACTCATCAATCCATAACCATAATTCCCCTGCTTTCTAACTCACAGAAGAAGTGATTACAAGCTAGGATATTGGAAGCAGACACACTGACAGCAGCTTCATGTAAAACTGATGGCGCTGGAAAAATTGAAGCATGTTCAGAACAGACTGTTACTGTGGCCCAATAAAGTCACTGCTGGTCCCAGTGGGGATCTTAAATAATAACCACAGAAAAAATCCTGAATAGTCAAATAGTCATAAAATATCAATAACAGTAAGACAAGTTTTCAATTTAAAAAATCTGTTAAACCGTTTTAACATATTGAGGACAGGGCATTTAAATGTACAGATGCAAATCAGTGTCCACAATACGCTATCATCTGACATGAAAACATATCTACTTGTATACAACACATGTAGAGCAACTTCATTCATAATAACCTCAAATTGGAAAAAGAACCCACAATATCCACTGACAGATGAATAAATAAATTGCTGTATTTCCATAATAGAATACTACTCAGGAATAGAAAAGTATGAACTACTAACACGCACAACATAGATGAATCTCAAAAATATGCCGTTTGGGCCAAGTTGGAGTACCAGGGACCACATTTATGTTTCTGACTGAAATAACACTGGACAAAATATATGAAACACAGGTTTTCAAACACTGGACACGTGACTGTGTTCAGGTAGCATAACAGGACTGTGACTACCTAAAAAGGAGAAACAAAGGTAAGCCCTATGATTGCCCCAACTTACATTCTGGAGAGTTTCCGGACCAAACGCAGACAGACCAGAAGTCTCCTTGAGGATAAAGAACTGGGAGTCAGGGGAGGCGAAGGCAGCTAGAAGGCAGCTAGAGGCTGCAGGGCAGCACAGAAATGAGAGCTACACAAAGACCGCAGAGGATCTCTCCTCAGTCCACGGCTGAGAGATGATCAGCATATGCATGTGAGACAAAAGGAACCATCTACAAAGAGTGGATGGAACAATGTTCAATGTTCAATGTTCATATGGGATGGGAAGGGTGTGACTTCGTGAAAGTACTGAAACAAAAACTATCAACCTAAAATTCTATATCCCGAGAAATTGCTTCCAAACATGAAGGCAAAGTAAAACCTATTCAAACACACAGAAACTAAAATTCATCACGAGCAGACAGACCTATAATACAAAACAAAAAAAAAAGAAAAAGTTTTAAAAAAGTCCTCCAGGCAAAAGGAAAATACCAAACAAAATCTGGATTTTAGAGCAGAATGAGGAGCACTGGAAATAATATATGTTGGTAAATATAATACATATATATATATATATATATATATATATTTAAGATTTTATTGAGGAATTGTGGAAGGGGACCAGCCAAGTTGTTCTTCAGTCCTAGTTGTGGGAGGCGCCAGTCGCCATCTGGCTTCCCGTCGGCAGCTCATGGCTTCTAAGCTCAAAGTGCTGTATTCAATCTTAGTTGCGGGTGGGCGTAGCCACCATCCCATGTGGGAGTCGAACCAGCACTCTTGTTGTTAAGAGCGTACGCTCTATCCACTGAGCCATCTGGGCGGCAGCTCAGCTCAAGGTGCCGAGTTCCGTCTTAGTTGTGAGTGGGCTTAGTCCACCATCCAACAGGCAATCTTGTTGTTACACCAACTGAGCCATCCTGCCACCTGTTGGCAGCTCAGCGACAGCTCAGGTCGGACGCAGCATCACTAGCCCATGTGGGAATTGAACCAGCAGCCCTGTTGCTCAAAGCTCATGCTCTTAAGCCAACTTTTAACCAATTGAGCCACTTGGCCAGCCCAAAATATATTTTTTCTTATTTAGAATTTGTGGGATGCACCTAAAAGTAGTATGTAGAGGGAATTTTATAGTGTAAAGGCCTCAAATTATATGTTGTATTTTTGTTTACACTCAGAATATTTTGTAATCTCCCTTGTGATTCTCCTTTGACCCATGGGTTATTTAGAAATACATTGTTTAATTTCCCAATATTTGCAGATTTCCTAAATTAAGCTTCTACCTAAAACACTAGGAAAAGCAAATGAAGCCCAAAGTAACACAGAAAGAAAATGCTAAAAATAAGAGGAGAAATTAGACAGAAAACAATAAAGAAAATTAATCAAACCAAAAATTGGTTCTTTGAGATCAACTGGCCAGACAAATTAGGAAAAAAAAAAGAGTGGGGGGGGGGGAGAAATAAATTACTAATATCAGGAAGAAATGAGAGTTGACATCATTAGAGTAATTACATATTAATTTGCGTTAATATGCAAACGTGAAAAGGCTAAGAAGTATTAAAAATACCTTTACACCAACATATTCCTTGAAAGACACAAGCTACCAAAAGCTCACAGAAGAAATACATAACCTGAACAGACCTATATCTATTAAAGAAATTTAATCTGTAGATTGCAGACAATTGCAGAAGAGGGAATATTTCCCATCTCATTCTCTGCTGTCCCTGTTATTGATACCCAAACCAGAAAAAGATATTACAAGAAAACTACACAACAGTATCATGGGTATAGATATAAAACTTATTTGCAACATTTGAGCAAATCAGGTCCAGTAACCACATACACATCATGTGGTGAGGGACAGACATTAAGGGCCTGGCAGAATCCAGGTCGTCCTTGCCCTCCCCGCTCCGCGTCTGGCTGACAGGGACCAGTGGAGAGTCAACAGCTTTCCACTTCCTCTCCTTTGGTGTGGTCCCACTCCATCAGCCAGATGTTAAATCCAGCCCGATTCCATGGCAAGTGTGGATGTGTCCACCCATAACAGTGGTTAAAAACAGCTGGTCAGTGACATTTCTCTGATACTCCATCTCTCAGTTTTAGACTCTTACTTATCCAGCTTCTCCCACAATTGTGTAAGATCTTATTTTTATAATAAACCCCTTAATTCCACAATATGTACAGTGCTTCTAATTCCCAGACCAAATCCTGACCGACAGACCATGTTTTCCAGACCAAGCTTTCTGTCCTCTATCTCACCTCCTTCCTTGAAGTCAGTAAAAGTTATAATCACAATTTCTGCTTAAGTGGAGCTCATCTTTACTGTTGTAGGTTTGTGCCGTCTGGCCGTGGGAATGAATAATCACGCTCGTCGTTATGTCCATGGAGAGGATATCACACAAAAAAAATAAACTAAGAAATATGAAGCAGCTAGGAACTGTAGCAAGTACCATATCTCCCCATGTATAAGACGCTCCCATGTATAAGATGCACCTTAATTTTGGGGACCGAAATTTGGGGGGGGGGAAGTATTACCTAAAGTTATTGAACTCAAGTTTTATTCATCATAAAATTCATACAACTCCTCATCACTGTCAAAACTCCCAACCATTAGCTTGTCCTCATCTGTNGCAGCATCACTGGCCCTCATGTGGGATCCGAACCGGGGCCCTGCTGCTCAGAGCTGGCGTCCCAAGCCAACTCTTAACCAACGCGCCACTCGGCCGGCCCCAAACATCACTTTTAAGTCCCAACTGATAATACTAACTTCTCAGCTGTAGCAAAAGTGAAGTATTTTCAGGACCACTAATGTGGTGAGCACATCCTTTGTCTAATTTCCTATTCACTCCAACATCTCCAGTTTAGCACTCGTTAGATTGTCCTTAAACATCTGCACTGAAGGGAACTCAATCTGAAATAATCCCAGGAGAACCTCCACAAGAAGCCCTCGGGGCCCTCTCTCTATACCTTTTCCCCACAGTGCCAATTAGTGTGGCTTCTCCTTCTGTTAGTGTTTGAACACTCACCAATTGAAGCTCTCCACTGAATTCCATACTGTCTGGGAACTTAGGGCCACATAATTTTAGAACTGCAAAGGTCTTCTGACATCATCTAGGTCTAGCCTTCACTTTATAGATGAAACTATGGGCCAGTGAGTGACTGGCACAAGGTTGTAGTGAGACAATGACAGAGATAGAGACACAAGTCTCTGTGCTGCCAGAGGAGTACATTAAGTGCTTTCCCAGCTAATAAAACCGTCACATTTCTTTGGATCTCTAAAATCATAGCTGCATTTGATTATTAATATATTAAGACAAAGTAAGTGTGAATAAGGTACAATACGAGTAAGACACTGGAGACCCAGTGCCTCCAACCACTTGCTGCTGGAAGTATATCTTCGTAGGACAACGAAGGAGTGCAATTCATCCTGTTAAGGGTAATGTACCATTATCTAGACTCTAGATAATGTTAATGAGTCAATTTATTTTGTGTTTATACTCCATTATCTCCAGAAAAATTGCAGAGAGCTTATATAATTAATCCTAACATAAGACAGAACTATAATGATTCAGTTAAATAACCAGGTGGTGATTCTCTAAAAATAAGTTAGTAAGTTAGGTTTTTAAGGCACTGAGAGTATGAATACAAGGACAGGGAAAGAAATACAGTGGAGAAAAAACTCAGTACTATTTATTACTTTAAGAGATGGCACTGATGTTTTCAAAATTCCTGAAGTCTACTTAGAAGTGATATTTAAAGGTCAGCAGGAAACATGGAAATAATTAGTGATGCTCTGTACTGACACTGAGAACATGCTGCAGAAAAATTCTTAATTTGGAGTTGATACAGAATCTAGAAGGCTAGCAACTAAATATCAGCCCTGACATATCCAAGTGAAGAGTGTAAGACAGAAGAACTTAAGGAAAATAAAGTACATTGAAATGCTTTCTTAAGAGATGTATCAACAAGAAAGGTCACATTATAAATGTTTTATAGAGTGGTCATAAGCCCTGCAGGGTTTGAATGGAACCCGCCTACAAGGTTGAGAATTTCTCACAATTGAGAAATAGTATCCAATTTTCTTCCAGAAGAGGTTCTGGGAAAGAGTAGTTTCTAGAGGAATGATACAACAGTAATATCTCAGTTTGTCTCCCAAGTAATGCCATGCATGGAAATGCCTTGAAAGGAAAAATTAATTGTTACCTGAGCACCACTACAATTGGACTTTCACTTCCAGTTATGACCATTAACCCCTTCCAGATCATTAATGCCGAGGAGACAATCATTCCAAAATTTAGGACTTGGTAATAGAGCTGTAAGAACAAAAGAGAAGAGATCAGATCCATGATGATCCCCATCCAGGAACACAACAGACAGTGGCACCAATTTAAGAATTTCAAGTAGTACTATCAGGACAACTGAAGTTCTGAGACATTATTTTAAATACTGTAATAATTACAACATTAGCATCCCAGGACAGCCCTCCTTCTCTCACCCCAAGTACCTTGCTCTATTTTGTTTGCTAAAATACGTTACATTTATATGGTAAGTTATTATTTTCAGAACCTTTCACATAAGTTATTTCATTTGGGCTTCACAACCATTCAGCTTAAATTATATCACATCCATGATACATACCAGCCAACAGTAATAAATCTCTGCTTCTGAACTCCTCTAGTACTTACTTTTTTATAATAGTTATCTATCCCTTGTTAATCACAGGCTGTTCAATGACCTTCAACCCCATACCTCATTTACAGTGGAGGAAACAGTCTCAGAGAGACCAAAGCCATATAGCTTGTCAGTCACATAGCTAGGACTCGAAGGCCAGCCTTCTTTCTGTCTTCATAAATTTCCACTACTTAATAAAGTGTAAAATTCTATGACTTTATATAAATACTTTGACTTTCTATAAAATACCAGAAAGGCATTTCAAGGGAGGGAAATAATGTGAGCTAACTGTGTGGGACTAAGACTGGATAATGGGTAAAAGTGGAGAGGAAGACTGGACACCATGGCAGATGGTACAAGAAATGAAAGATGGCAGTGAAGAGTACTAAGAGAAATGTGAAAAAGCATATTAAGCTCAGATTATGGAAAACCTTGAATGTACCATTCAAAATGTGAACCTGAAAAGACGTCACAAAATACTGTAAAGTGAAAAAAAAAAAAGTTTCAAAAATATATACAGTGTGCTCACTTCAGCAGCACATATACTAAAATTGGAACGATACAGAGAAGAATTAGCATGGCCCCTGCTCAAGGATGACACGCAAATTCGTGAAGCGTTCCATATTAAAAAAAAAAAAATATATATATATATACAATGTAAGTTCAATTTTTGTTATTTTAAAAAATATATGGGGCCGGCCGAGTGGCGCGTTGGTTAAGAACTGGCTTGGGACGCCAGAGGGCCCCGGTTCGGATCCCACATATGCGGGCCA